AATATTTCTTGATCACGTGTTTAAAAGCGGAACGACCAATTATTAATATTATGAAATAAAATATTTATCTAATTTTGATTTTTTTTTATTTAATTTTGTATCTTGTATTTATAGTTATTTTTTATACAAGACGATAAAATGGTATTTCATCGTCGACCGGAAAGATTCGACGATTCTCATCGCTCGTGAATTAATTTGGAGAGACGATAATGATGATGCAATTTTATCGTCGTGTATAAAACAATATTTTTTTCCATAGCGAGTTACGTTTTAAGAAATATTCAGAAATTATTATTTCAAGGAATTTATTACGAGTAGAAAAAATATTGTGCTGGGTTGGCGTTGGTTTCTGTGTAATTTGACAAATAAATAAAGCTGTTTCTTTAGTTGTCAGTTTTGAGTCAATATTTTTTAATTCTCTTTCGTGTCGATTGCTGATTGAATTGGAGCCAGAAATGGCTCCAAAGGAAATAAGTAAATTACCAACAGTTATTCAGGCTGAGGCGACAAACGCCATATCCAAACTACTTTCACTTAAATCCTGAATAACTTATGAAAAGGAATACAAAAATTTTCAAAAATGGAAGCAATTAAAAAACGTGCGAGAAGAAATAAAGTTTTTAACCTATCCTCGCTGTTAAAGTATCATTTAATCTACCCTTGCGGTTAAAGTACTATTTTATCTACTATTTTTGATAGATATAAAGCAATTTACAGTTGCTATGGAAAAAAAATCGATTTATTCTATGAAGATATTTCAAAGGCTATGGAAGAACATAAAACTCGCCTTATGTTAGTAATGGGAGATTTCAATGCCAAATTAGGTGAAAAAAAATTCACATAGAAGAAACTAAAATAGGGTATTTTGGATATGGAGATAGGAATGATAGAGGCACAGCCTTAATGAATTACCTAGAGAAAAACACCTAGACGCAATGAACTCATTCTATAAGAAGAAACCGCAACGAAAGTGGACATGGCTTAGCCCTAATGGAGCAACGAGAAACGAAATTGATTATACACTAACTACTCAGAAAAAGATCGTTAGGGATATAACAGTCCTAAACAACTTTGCAACAGGCACTGATCACAGGATGGTCAGAGCAAAAATATCTATTGATAGTAATTTCGAAATGAAAAAGAAAATTAATAGCAACCACGAACAACCGGACATGAATAAACTTGCAGAGAATAAAACCACTTATAAAGAAATGCTAAAGGAACAGTTAGAACAAACCTTAAGAAGTGAAAATGGAACTGTAGATGAAATAAACGATACACTGACAAGAGCGATGAAAAAAGTAGGAAAAGAAGTCGCACAAAAGGGCAAAAAGAAAGAAAATTACATCTCAGAAGATATAAAAAATCTCATGGATAAAAGGCGTAACCTGAACAAAGAAGGAAAAAGGACAATGATGGAATACACAGAGTTAAATAAAACCATAAGAAAAATGATAAAAGAAAATAAAAGAAAAAACCAAGAAATACAAATTGAGAGATTAATAGAAAATAACAAAAGTATGAAATGTCTAAAACCCATTCTAGGTAGATTCGAAATAAATGAAATAAAGGACAGGAACGGCATAGAAACTAACATTAAAGATGACATTATAAAAATCACAGAGATGTTCTATACAGAACTATACGAAACAAAACGGGAACCGCCGGTAGACACCGTAAGAAACTCCAAACAAAAATAAGAAACGTAAACTCAGAACTACAACCTGAAATAAGCAAATCGGAAATAAAGAGGGCATTGAAGAAAATAAAAAACAACAAATCACCTGGAAAAGACGGAATAACAACAGAAATGCTAAAGTACGGTGGAAAAGCTGTAGTTAATACTCTTTATATTCTCCTGAATAAAATCCTCATAGAAAAGATAATCCCAAAGGACTGGAAGGAATCCATAACCATCATCCTACATAAAAAAGGTGATAGGGCAGATCTAAAAAACTATCGTCCTATGACACTCCTTAACGTAATTTATAAGCTTCTCAAGAAAATATTAACCGATAGACTAACAACAAAATTTGACGGATACCAAGCAAAAGAACAAGCAGGCTTCAAAAAAGGATACAGTACGTTTGACCACTTATTAACTATGAAAATACTAATAGAACGAGCCAATGAATACAACATCCCACTATATATTGCATTTGTAGATTTTGAAAAGGCTTTTGATAGTATTGAGCACTGGGCAATAAAAACTTCCTTAATAAATAGCAGGATAGACTACAGATACGCAGACTTAATAGCCAACATATATAGCGAAGCAACAACAACAATTAAAATCCACGAAGGAGCAAAGCCAAGTCGCATAGGAAGAGGTGTCAGACAGGGCGACACAATATCCCCTAAACTCTTTAATCAGGCATTAGAAGACGTTCTCAAAAATTTAAACCGTGAAGAAAAAGGCATCAAAATATGTGGACAATACTTGAATCACCTAAGATATGCGGATGGTATCGCCTTAATAGCAGAAAAGAAAGAAGAACTGGTAGAAATGCTGGAAGAGCTGGATACAGCAGCTAGAAGAATAGGCCTAAATATGAACTACACTAAAACTAAAGTCATAACAAACACCGATGAAAACATATAACAACCAGAATAAACCAAGAAAAAATGGAACAAGTTGAAGAGTATATATATCTGGGACAAATGATTAAACTGAAAAAAGAAAACCAAACAGCTGAAATAAAGAGACGAGTAAGACTGGCCTGGGCAGCATTTGGAAAATTAAGTTACATATTAAAAAACAAAAGATATCCACAGTACCTCAAAACCAAAGTATATAATCAATGTGTACTCCCTGTACTTACTTACGGATCCCAGACCTGGACATTGACAAAATCAAATATGGATAAGGTAACAAAATCTCAAAGATCTATGGAAAGACAAATGCTACATGTAAGGCTGGCAGATAGAAAAAGGAATGAGTGGATCAGAGGAAAAACTAAAGTAAGGGATGTTAGAAGTGAAATAGCAAAACTGAAATGGAAGTTTGCCGGTCACAATGTTAGACAAAAGGATGATCGATGGAACAAATGCATCGTGAACTGGAGGCCCTGGGAGAATAGAAGAAGTAGAGAAAGACCTCAGATGAGATGGGCGGACGATCTGAGGAAACATACAGGCACAAGATGGATGATCACGGTGACAGAGAGGGAAGAGTGGAAGAGATTGGGGGAGGCCTATATCCAACGATGGACCGAAGAGGCTGAATAGATAGAGATAGATAGATGAAAAAAAAACATTTTTTTAGTATCTTAGTATTTTATAAATATTTAGTTTGCTAAAATACTTTTATCCACGACTCGTCTATAATTTGATTATTATACATGAGAAACACATTGAGAAAACATGATAAACACAACACGAGAAAATTATTATAAAATAATAATAATATTCATTATTCACTAGTGAATAATGGTTTCATTATTCACCGCTTCCAAGGATATCTCGATCCAAACTCACATTGTGTGAACACAAACATTACCGTTAATGTAAATAAATAATTTTTGTTTTAATTAGTTAAAGCTAAATTAGTTAGCTACCTAGTTAAAGAAAATTTCAATATTTTTTGACATTAAAAATAAAAACTTATATTAATATTAACTAAATTTTTTTGATAGTCTTGGATAAAGTATAGTATTCTACTAGCATATAATGGCTGTTATTCACCTGATAATTCGATTATTGAAATAATACTATTTTTCCCATCACCATAGTCTGTCCAACGACAAGATCCTTGACAGTGATAGATGTGTCTGTCATTTTCCTTACAAAATAGTTTATTTTATTTTACCAAGAAATAAGATGGTAAAACTGGAGCGCATAGCAGGAAATTAATATATTTAAAATTTGACTGATAAGTGATCACAATAAGTGATTACTTCAAAATATTGTGAAAAAAATCTGAATAAAAATGAAAAAATGTAATCGAGTTATTTTATTAAAAAAAACGGTACCTATGTGTTCATACAAAACAAACAAGAACAACCACATACCAAAAAAATATAAAAAAATAACTATTTCTTACTTTCAAGTTTCAAGAAACTTTCCGCATTTATTATTATATTTATCAATATAACTTATGTTCAAATACAAATTTGTAATATTCCACAGGAATAAATAAAACAACATAAACAAAACAAACTATATATTTTATTAATACCAAACCACTTACCAAATTTTATACCTTAAAGGTTGATTAATTAACTTTAATCTTAATTATTTTAAACCGGTACCTTTTGACATTGTTTTTCTGCAGTACTAAAATCCATTATTTACCTATCGTGTGATGTCGATATTTTACAGCTACTCCAGTTTTTAGTATATGTTTAGTACGATCCTTGTACCATATACGAGATACACTTATCTACGGCGAGATGGTATACAAACTTTATTGATGGTAACTTTATTGGTATATAAGACTTTTTGCCTGCGCAGCGAGTATTACATAAACTGTGCTCTGGGTCTACAGTTAATTTTCCCTCGATTTTTTCTCCACTTGACTTCAAAGGACACAAAACACACATAATAACACGAATCAAAATGCATCATCTTCCAAAACGCAGATATTTGACATATGTTGACACAAAATTATAACCTATAATTTGGCAAGACTTTGACAAGCCTCAAAAATCTTAAGGCGAGTTTATACGCATCGGCGTCCGTTTGTCGTTCATCGTTCCCTCAAACCAATAAAATTGAAATATGATCTGTCATTTTTTAAATAAACCAACAAAACTGATTAAAAACAACAAGAGACGACGCATGACGGATTTATATTTAAACCCATCTATAGTTAACTTCAAAAACATTAGAAACTTTTTTAGTAAAATAAATAGATTGGTATGGGACGTCATCTGCTTTTTTCTGTCATCGTACCTGAGAAAAAAGTGAGGGTACTCTTAACCCCAAAAAATATTATGTTTAAGTTTTTGGTAAAACAAAAGTAGAAATATTACCTAAAACATCTTATTTGGTTTTCGCAGGCCCTGGAAAGCTGGATAAATAATTCAGATGCCGGCGTAATCTACTTCAGTCTGGGATCCATGATCAAAGGTGTCACGTTTCCGGCGGCGCGGAGGGAGGCGTTTGTGGGAGCGTTCGCCCGGCTGCGTCAAAGGGTGCTGTGGAAATGGGAGAACGACACCATGCCAGACAAGCCGGACAATGTAATGATATACAAGTGGATGCCGCAGTTTGATATTCTGTGTAGGTTTAGGCTAGGCTAGGCACGGATAATAATGCATGCGCGTCAGCGTGGCCTTTGTCGAAGGAGAATTTAATTTTATATATCCAGATTGCATCTAATATACCAAAAATTCAGTCGTGTATAGCGGACTGTCGTTTAAAAAAATATATTTGAAATGGTTCTTCAGTCGCGGCTGTGGTAGTGGCTTTTGAGGTCTTTGAAATAGTCCGTCGGGCATCCGTATAGCTCCTTAAATAAAAAACTTGGGAATTTTGTTTAAGTGGAGACTTAAAGTATGTAAAAAATGTCTATACCTATTCGGATTCATCTCTCCAAAGAAAAATAAAAAAAGTTTAAGAGTTATTTTTTTTACGTTAAACATTTATTGTTCGTTAGGCAAATTTGTTTATATCTGTAAACCTAACTGCTAACAAGTATTTTCCGTTGGATTAACAAAGCAGTGTTTACATAAAATAACTATTTTATATTGTAGATTATTTTCTTGCAGTGGCGAAATACCCATATAGGATTTTTTTGGAGAGTTAAAGTATGTACTAGGATGTAAAAGTGTGAGTGGATAAGGATAATTTTTTTAAACGGAACACCTTGTATATTATTGCATTTTTGGCTTCCTTTCGCACATCATTCAATCCTAAGTTATGAGTAATTATATTTCGATAGTTTCAGAGATATTAATAAATAAATCAAAAATTTATATTTTTCAGCCTTTCTTAAAAAAATTATAAAAAATACAAGAACTGTCCTGAAATCAAAACTATATTTGGTATTTACGAAGAATGAAATTACTGGGCAACCTACAGTAAGATTAGCCACGAAACATGGCTAAAATACGAGTACCCGTAGGCACTTAGTGTTTCTGCCTTCCGGGTTCATCAATACGGGAGGAATCAGCAACGATGAACTAACAATCCTGAAAAAAGAAAAAGGGGAAGCAAACGAGACACTTGGTACCATTTGCAACCTGCTTAAGCAGTAGCTCGCAATTCGCAAGCGTTACTACCAAAAAACCGCTGCGGAGGTACTTCAACATATCTCGCCCCTATCACCTTGGCCCAGAGAAATCAATAAAAAAAAGATATTATCGTGGGGACTATAACTCTTACTGTGAGTTGCCCAATAATTTCATTCTTCTTTTTTATTATAGTCTCCACGATAACATCTTTTATTTAGGTATTTACTGTAGATAGCCTCTACTTACTTTTTTATAAATACGGTAATCGTATATCATACAAATTTTACGCCAAACTTTCTAAAATATAAAATAAGTTGTCTTCGTTTTTTTTTAAAAATTAAAAAATGAACAGTTTTTGTATTTATAGTATTTCAAGATTATTAGCGGTTTCGCAGACTATGTGGTTTTATATTTCATATGGCATTTTAAACAGTAAATTTTTATCAAAGCAACCCAATGATTTTTCTCTCGTATTTTACTGTTGACAGAGCCATATAAAATAATACTGCCTGTATCAGCGAAAATTATTATTAAAAAGTTTCCTCAGCGGTCAGTGCCGCATTCGGCATCTATTCTGGCTTTTGTAAGTTTGACATCTTTAGATGCGTCCTTCGAACGATTACGTGGTCCAATTGATGCCAGTGACCTGATCTGGGATGTTTACAGGTACCTTTAAACTTGTCCTTCAACATGAACCACGTGTTGGTGATGCATAGACTATACTCTGTGCATGTTGTTAATAAGCGTTCACCATTGCTATTTACGTTTCCCGTTCCATGTTTTCCCAATACGTCTGGCTATATTTCCTGTTGTCTACCGACATGAGCATTAAAGTCATCCAGCAAAATGATTCGTTCGTGCTTTGGAATTCGTTGGAGAGCATTTTGTAGAGCTTGGTAAAATTTATCCTTATCCTCAATTTTAGCGTCTAGGGTGGGAGTGTAGGCACTAATGATGTTGACGTAAGAATTGTCTGATATGGGGTACCTTAGGGTACCTTGTCTTATGGGGTACCTCATAACACGTTCGGAGACACCGATAGGCACTTCTGTTAATTTGGTGGCGATTTCGTTTTTGATTGCAATGCCTAAGCCATGAATTCTCCTGTGTGTTGCGGGGTGACCTTTCCAAAAGAAGGTGTAATGCTCCTCAGTGAGACTACCCTCATCCGCGAAGCGGGTTTCGCTAAGAGCAGCAACATCTATATTTAGTCGGTAGAGTTCCTGTGAGACCAGTGCTGTTCTCTGGTCGATTTGAATTTATCTTGTCCAGTAGAGTGCGGACGTTCCACGCCGCAAACGTGAAGCATTGACGTTTTTTGTTTCTCCGATGATACGTAACGGTTACGCTGCCGCACAGTTTTGACTGCAACTGTAGCACGGGATGACTATGGTACAGTGAGGACCGCCACGATAGTTCCCTTGTGCTACGATCTCGGCCGGACATACATACTTTAAATTTGCTCTTAAACAAAAATTCTCAAGTTTTTATTCTAGGGGCTACAGATGCCCGACGCACTACTGCCGGATATATTTTTTTGAAAGTAGTATATTTTTTGTTTTTTATAAATTAGTTCTATTTTCATGTCTTAGCTATTTAAAGTGCCCTGTTATCAAAATTGTTAATTTCGGTCACTTTAAAAATAAACAATTAATTAAAAAATTATTGCAGACTCTAACCTTCTATTGAATCTCCTACATTCAAAAGAATCTTGATTTGCATTGATTAAAAATAGCTAAAATCTATTAGTTTGAATAAAATTAATGATTTCTAAATATTTATTTCTTCTACTAGGCAATCCGAAGGTGAAAGTTTTTATATCTCATGGCGGACTATTAGGAACAACGGAAGCTATACAGTGCGGAGTTCCTGTAATCGTATTGCCTCAATTCGGCGATCAACTGAACAATGCCAAAGCTTTAGAGAATGTAGGAGGAGGAGTTGTACTTTACCTGCAAGAGGTAACTGAGGAAAAGGTTTACAACGCACTTCAAACAGTACTCAGTGCAGAGTAAGTATATTTTTACACACAGATGCAAAAAAACGCAACTTGAATTTTTTTTCAAGTTTAAAGTGGTTTTTGGTTTTTTAATTTTAGTCTTATTTTCAAAAATGTATCAAATTTAATTCATAATATCAATTTTTAACATTGAAAATGTTTCTGTTATCCTATATATGGGAGCCCAAATCGAATTAAAATGCTACATTTGCCACACCATGACGTCATATATACAAGGGTATAGGAAATCTCGGCGCAGCGGCGGCAGTCGGCCAGCGCGCGCAAAAACCATTACATCGCTAATTGTTTATTGATATATCTTTATTAGTTTAAAAGCAAAATATGGGGTTTGTTTTGATACCTTGCCAAGACATAAGCGAAACTTTTAAATTGTTTCTTTTTTTCATTTAGGCCTTCGTTTTTCGTTAAATGAAAGTTATGTTAAAAAAAAGTCTATTTTTAAACCAAATTTTCGCATGATTCAAATGAGTTACTCATATTTAAAGTTTTTTTTGGTCATAAGCGCTAATGGAAATGTTTTTTTGTAAATAATTATAAAAAATTACTCCCTACGAAGACTTTATTGTGTACTGGATCAAAAAATAAGTATTTGCTTTCTCTATACGGTGGTATTAATATATCGATTTTTGATGATAGTGCCCTTTTACCCGGTCTAATTTTGTACTACTTTCGGAATAAGGGTCCCAATATCATGTATTGTACTTCCATCCCTGAAAAATTCAGCTTGTGACACCGAAGTGAGACGTAAAGTCAAAATAAGCTTTAATCTACCTACATCATAGGTAGGTGTAGGTACTCTAGGTATATTCTACCTAGACAGTAGCTGACAGTAGTTATTAATTTGTTATCCGATAAGTAGTTGTCATTATATAAGTTTAATCATCTTATACCTCCTATAACGGTAGGTTTTGGATTTTCTCCTGATTGGTTTGTTAAACAAAAATATACTGGGCCATATAAATGTCTAACACAATACATGTATTGAATGTACTTATTTTAACCAATGCATTGTTTTCTTTTTTTAATCTCACAAATAAGAAATGTTTTATAGTTTTTATTATAAAAACAGTGATTATGCAATTTATTTGCACCCCTTACACTGTTTTCTGTAAGGGGTGTAACCAGGAGTATATTTCGTAACCTCTTACGATATAAGAGGGCACAAAGTGTTTTATTACTTAATGCTTAGATTAAAATTTAATAATATATTTGTACATAAAATAAAATAGACTAGAAAGTCAATTAATTAATATTGACGTAATTACTAAATAATTACAATTTTTTTTTCTAAGTATATTAGTGTATTTTTAGTCACCTAATTATAAAGGAGAGATATCCAACCATTGCATTATTTTACTCACAAATAAATGTTTTATGGTTTTTATTATAAAACAAGGATTAATTTATTATACACCCCTTAACCCAAACACTCCAAGGAGGATATTTCGTGACCCTTATTTAAAGTGGAGAAGCTTTATTAGTCAATGTTTTAATTACCCAGCGTCTTTAATAAAAATCTAATGTAATTTTTCATAGAAATGATTTGACATAAAAAGCAAATTTTATCTAAAAACTTATTGATTATTTACAAGGAGTAAACCGCTGACAAATGTCTGTATACTAGTGCCAAAGTAATGCCAAAAATAGAAATCAAATACAAAAATTTCTCATATAATGCCTCGCTAATGCCAAGCTGATTCCAATATAATACCACGAATAATATGTAACACATTTGTTTAGCGAATTAACCTGTAACAATAGTGGTAGGTACGTGCACAGATTTTTTCCTAGGTAACTCAAAAGTCGTTAAAAAGTCTAATTATATTTAAAGAATCATATTTCTTTAAAAAATTAACCTGTAACAATAGTGGTAGGTACGCGCACAGATTTTTTCGCTAGGTAACTTATTAAGTCGTTAAACAGGCCTATAAAAGCTATAAAAACATAGGTAACTAATATTTATAATTTCATTCGAGTTTTAATCTCAAATAATAAATGTTTTTTCTGGTGTATTTCTGAAGTGTTCATTATTAAAAGTAGATATTCTTCAAGTTATGTGAAGTAATAAGGAATGTTTCCGGTGAGACCGCGTATATGTCACCGGATTCTGGTTAGTATAAAGACTTTTATCTATAGAAATAGTTTTTTCTATATTTTTCTTTCAAAATAAGACTAATTTCTTCTTATTCTTTTAAATATTACAGTGTTTCTTTTTCCTAAAATATTATAGGTACTTAATTTTCGCTTAAAATTAAAAAATCACAAATGGAGGAAAATATACGTTATTGAATAAAGTTTATACAAATCACTTTACCATACTGTAGACACAAGTGGCCAGGGTCACGACACCGCGCGCCGCCGAAGAGGAATCGGCCTACGTTTGGCTAAACAGGCTGGAGACGGTGGACTACGATATTGGCGAGTCTGAATATTTATAAAAATTTGCAAAGTAAAATATGTTGGAAAAATAATTAATCATTATACATACATACTACAAATAATTAATCATCATACATAAAATCCATACATATAATAAATCCATACATTAAAAGCTCAAAGGTTTTTTTTGTTGCATCCATCCCGCCGAAACCGCTTCACCAATCTTGATGATTCTTTTTTTAAATGAAAGGTATATATGTGTAGATTTGTTATGAAGTATTTTTCTAGTGCTTAATGGCTATTTCTTTGTGTAAAACGACTAAATACTAAAACATACCTGAAAAACACCTCCACACAATACCTCCAGAAATAAATTATTTGTCATTGTCAGTGGTGTGTCAGTGAGATTATATATTAAGTTTTTTAGATATTTTAGGAGTGAGTTCATACCGCCAGCTATAGATACATAAATATTAGCACAAAGATTCGTATAAACGACATTAGTGAATTAGCTACACAAAGCGATTTTAGGAAGTTCATCCTCTTAGAGAGTAAAATTATGTCGGAACAGTTTGTTGTATGAAAATTCCTTACTATTTGGTCTAGAAGAATGAAATCCTACAAAAAGAATTAGAAGAAAATTTTGAAATTCATCAACCAAATGGGTAAAGTTAGTAAAAATTTATATAAAAGTTGGTGACCTCTGGATTATACACATAAAAATTGGCACAAAGATAAAGCAGATTTATGAAATTTATACACTTAGGGAGTAGAAGAGGGAATGAAAGTTTGCTGTACGAAAATGCAGTACTATAACATTATAAACCAGACAGTATAAAATTTTATACAAGGGTTTATTTAGTGACATCATAACGAAATATATCTTCCTTAATTATCCTTCAAAGAATAAAAAATAACCTATAAAGAGAGTATTAGTGCTCTTAATAAATAAAAAGAAGATGAAAAATAAAAAACATCTATGCTCACTACTAGCTCTCTATAAATTAGTAAAAAATCATTTAAATCAATGCATGAACGATTCGAGGTGGAACGCGAACGTAGTCGCGGGAAAAGGCTAGTAATTTATTAAATTATTTTATTTAACTGACTAATTTTCATTGAAAAGGAATTTTTGTAATTTGCCACTATATTAGTTAAAAACTAAGAAACTCATATCAAATTTAAGTTTTGCGATTTTGACTTATACTTTTTACAAAATCTGAACATATTTTAAAAGAAAAAAAGCTTTTGATAATATTTGTGTAGATTGACTACAAGTTGTATAACATAAATTTCTACGACCGGTCTACCTAGTGGTCTGCAGCATCGCCTTGTGGTGCAAACGTGGGCTTGTTAATCTCTGACGTGACGCACAACAGCCAAGAAAAACAGAAGCGTGGCTAAGAAATTTAGTAATTTAAAAAAAAGTCTTTTAGATACAGTAGTAGGTATTAAAAAGTTTTGTGTTTAAATAGAGTTTGCCTTTAACAGTTAAAAAATTATATCTTAAAGTGTAACTTTCCGTAAGAATTCTTTATCTGTCATCGATCATGATCTGTCATCATGTTAACCTGATGTTTTGTATGTTATTTTGTTTTTTTGCTTGTTTGTTTCACGGATAGGTGCGATCGCATAATTATTATTGATAATGTTTTATTTAATGTTAACATTACTACTTTTTCAGTGAATCTTTAAATCTGTTGTTTTTTGTTAAGTTCGTTATTCAATCATATGTATGTAATACACTCATATTAACACTAATCATATTTTTACGTTTTTATTCATCATTTTCAATGACCCCCCCCCCCCGGTTGCATCTTTGTAAAGGACTGTGAATTTTTTTATAAACTTTAGTATTTGGCTTATCATTCAAGATTAATTGAAGGGTTGTTTTTATCCTAACTTTAAAACACCCTGTGCATTAGTTTCTTGAGTAACTTTTCCTAAAACTTTATTTTTCGATCGGAACCATGTCTCTTGAGCATTTTGATTTTTTTACTAATGTCAACACATGCCTTTGGGGTGTTTTAAAGATAAGGTAAAAAAAACTTTTCAATTAACCCTGTATAATAAGACAAATACTAAGGTTTATAATAAACTGAGTTTACGAATTAAAGTTGATATATTTATATAGAGATTACAAAAAAATCAAGGAAATACGGCCGAGATTAAAAAAAATAACATTTTATAACAAACTTGACCAAAAATGTTTCCGTTGCGTTTTTTTGCATCTTAGTGTATACCATTTAAAAATAATTTTTACTCGATTTAAAAATAAATTACAACCTTATTAAGGCCAACTGGCTGTAGAATGAGTGAGAGGGGGGTTAATCACTGCGACCTTAAAGATCTATTGTGCCCCCTTCCTTGAGTCAATACACAGTCTATAACCCATCATACCTCTGTTGTAGAAGGGACAGGGTATTTCCCATCCTTCTCTGACAACAGATGTTCTTCCTCCGAGGGTACACACCCCTTCACGGTTGGAGTTTGGCCCTCCTTGCCCTTCACAGTCGAGTAGCTTGCCTCCGGCTGAGGTACCCGTGGGGTGGAGGCTGGAGGATCTGTCTCCATTTTCTCCACGTCTTAAGATCTAAGTTAAGTCTCTCCTTAGACCTGATACCGGTTTTGTCCCGTATCTATAATAGAGGATATGCCCCTCTTTCTCTATTGCCTCCTTGGATTTGAGGTCAATTCCTATTGTGAGGACCTGACCATGACCCTCCTCCCTCGAGTTGATGACTCGCCAACTCGATGCCTTTACATTAAAGTTCTGACCCTGGATAAAAGGCTTAGCACGTAGGTGGTGTCTTTCCCCTTGCTCCTCGGCAAAAAAAACCGTGATGGCCCCTTTAGGAATGTTTTCTCCTTTCACTGCAACCAGTTCCGGCCCCTGCCAATTTTTAAGCTTAGGTGCGATTGCCACCAACCAATTCACCGATTCTTGAGATACACAATCTATAAGGATCTCCAGTATACCCACTTCTCGAGACGTTTGCTGGTCAGTGGTCAAAGCAACCTCTGGGAAATCCTTTGGCAGCACCGCCATTTTCACTTGTCCAGCAATATCGGCAAAGCTGGTGATACGTCCCTGCTTGACACCCGGTGTTGGACGGCTTTCCAGGCTGCCTTTTTTCTCTCCCTGCCGGAGAAGAGGTGCCTCATTAGAGGTTCTCGCTCCCTCTCTTGCTCTTTGATGGAGATGAGTCAGGTTGTTTCTTGGTTTCATTACTCTCCACTTTTCGGAGGAGTGTTTTCGCTTTTGCTTCCTCTGGAGCAAGTCCTTCATGGAGCAGTCGGAGGTATCTCCGTGCTTCTGCTCCTCTCAGAACTACTCTCAAAGGATCGTCTAGCCCGCCTGGTTGACCCAGGCCGGGTAGACAAAACGGCAGCTTGTGTAGCTTATTGGGTCCAGAGGTAGACTCCCGACTCTTACTAGAGGAAGTGGTAGCTTGTGTGCCACTTGCGGAAGCTGGTCTCGCGCAAGTGTCAGCCGCCTCTCCTGTAGTTCCCTTTGAGATTGGTCATTAAAATATAATGACGTCTAGGGCCTGACCTCGCCAAAATTATCATCGATTTTCGTTCCCAGCCGCCTTCACGCCGTTTTTTTTCAATCGTATTGTATATCAATCCATTGCGTATTGAAATAATTAATAGCATATCTATCTTTTATTGTTAGTAAATTTTTGTTAAACAAAGATTCTAAAAATAGTTTGTTTACAGATATCAACTGAATGCAAAGGCATTGTCCAGCCGTTTCAAAGACAGACCGTTGCCTGCAATGGACACTGCGGTCTACTGGATAGAGCACGTGGCGAGACATAAGGGAGCTGATCATATGCGGTCTCCGGCTATTAATTTACCTTTTTATCAATATTTCCTTATAGATGTCATCGCTTTTCTAGCTTTAGTTAGTCTTATTTCTAGTTATTTATTCTTTAGAATTTCGAAAGTAGTATTAAGGTCGGTACTAACTCGAAACAAAACCAAAGAAAAAAGTTCCTGATTTTAGATATTTTCATATTTTGTGATAAGCGGTTTTTTATTGATATTAATTAGAATTAGCTAAAACATGTTATTTAGTTAAAAATATATTTATAAAATTATTCTGAAGTTTTAATTATTCTTAAACTGTGTGCTGACAGTTGATTTTTTACTTAGTCAGGATATCAAAAATATTAGTATTTCTTGAAAAAATCTGGGGCTTTAGCCGCTGAAAGAGAAACCTACAAAATAAAAAAGAAATTAAAAAAGCATAGGTATTTGAAGTGAAACTTCTTATTTAACAGCTATTAAATTGAAGGATTTGAAGGACATATGTTTAAAAAAGTGACATATAATGTTGTTTTAATATTTTTTGCTGCTTTATAATTGCTGTATATTATTATTTTCAATTTATTTCTGTAATCTGTACATTTTCTGTTTCATCAATAGCCTGCAAATTTTGTGGAATACCACCCAAAATACACACTTTTATGCAAATGCCTAATAAAGCTAACGTTTAAATGTATTTAAGAAGAGAATTTTGAACCTAACCAACAATTCGTATTTATACGTGTACCAGCGACTTCGTTCGCGTGGAATTAATCATTTGTAATGGTGTTGATAAAGCAAAGCAAGAATTTCCATTAACATACAAACTGGATAAAATTTTCTCACATTTATGTCAGCATGAGAAAAAACAATATGGCGATATTATTATATAACTTGGTAATATTTGAGGGGTAATTTCATCTCGTTGGAATTTCACTTTCGAAAAATCCGTTTGCTAAAAATAAACTTTTTACGTCAAGCAGTTTAAGCAGAATCGTGGTTAAGAAATTACCCAACTTTTTGAAACACCCTGTATGATTTTTTTAAATATTTCAAAATATGTAAAAAACCAAATAAATTATGCTTGTCAAAGCGTTTTCCCGAAAGACTTACCGTTTTTTAAATAACAAATATTGTAATATTTGAGGGGCGTTTTCACCCTCTTGGAATTTGATATTCGAGAAACACCTCCTAATCGAACCTCTACACCCCACAGTCAATTCGTTGGCCAAAAATCAGCTTTAAACGTCAAGCAGTTTAAGCAGAATCGTGTTTACTCAATGGTCATATTTTATGAAACACCCTGTATAAATTTATAAAAAATCTTAAAATATGTAAAACAACAAAATAAAATATACGTATTTAAGAGTTTTTCCGAAAAACTTACCGGTTTTTAAATATTTTTTTTTTTATATTTAAGAGATAGTTTCACCACCTTAGAATTCGAGTTTCGAAAAATCCCTTCTTATCGAACAACTACACCCTAAAGTCAATCTGTTTTCCAAAAATCAGCTTTTTACGTCAAGCTCTTTAAGCAGGATCGTGATTAATCAATGACCAGATTTTTCGAAATACCTTGTATACATTTTTAAAAAATCTTAAAATATGTAAAAAAACAAAATAAAATATACGTGTTTAAGCGTTTTTTCGGAAACTTTACCGTTTTTTTAAATAAAAATATTGTAATATTTGAGGGGTGGTTTCACCCTCTTGGAACTGGAATTTCGAAAAATCCCTTCTTATCGAACCTCTTGACCCTAGAATCAACCCGTATGCCGAAATTGAGCTTCTTACGTTGAGTGGTTTGAGCAGGATCGTGATTAATCAGTATGTCAGTCGCTTAAGGGGATTTTATATGTATATTAGTATAGATTCTCGTTGATTATTATTGGTTTGAAATAAATCTGACAATTTTCTCAAATAAAAATACGAGTTGCTTAACTCTAATAATTCTAATTCTGAGCTAGCAAACGAGCTAGATGTTTTATCTAGACCGTTATTCGGAAGTTACAAACCTATCGATATCGATAAATATTTACTTTCTAGCACACAGCCAGAGGATATTCGTACACCATCAGGTACAGTATCAAGTTTGTTATAATGATTTTCTTAGCTTTAAGTCAAATGTTTTTTGGTGTTTGCGCGATATTTATCACTTTTTGTTTGTATCGTGTCAAGGCCATGACATGTTATCATATGGGCTTAATTTAAACACTCTGTTTTTTATGTTAGAATAGCATATTTAAAAAGTACTTGTTTGAATTACCCTGAGTCACATTAAAATCTTATCGATAAAATTTTGATAAACAAATATCTGATTTACGAGTATTATAACTACAATACGAGCATTACTTCATATATTTTATGTTTACTTTAAATACAGAGAATAAAAAAATAGGTGTATATTGACGCCAAACATACAGGTTGAGTCTTAAATAAGTGCAAATATTTCTAAGTGGTATACTGGTGCGTTTCAAAAGTGGCTCACCCCCTATAACTTTTTTATTTTTTCAGATGAAAAACGAGATTTCATATGTTAAAATTTGACATAAATTAGGACTGATTCACGTATTCAATTGTTGTTGGTCACTTCCTATTTCACCGGAAATGACTACAACTTTTGATTTTTAAATATTACCCTCGGTATATTTTTACTTTATTCGATAAAAAATGACATTCTGAATAGAATGACATATCATACGTCAACTTTTGACATTTTCGCATATGGTTTATTTGAAATTGTAACATACGGTTCATAACGAAAATTTGCCTCGAAATACCAAGTGTGTGGTACCAAATTATTCATAAAAAATGCTTTTTGCAAATATGCTAATGCGCCACTCTGTTACATTTGAAAAAATTCAAATATGATCAAAATACGAATTGGGAATATTTTAAACGGCCAGAACAAAATAGGCGTTCAAATCTATTTTTCCAAGGCTCCTTGATTAAAAATCAGGGTTTGTCACACAGCCATTAAAATTTAAAATACATTTTTTTCTTAAACGAAAATGTCAAAAGTTGACATGTGATATGGCATTCTATTCAGTGTGTCATTTTCTATCGAATAAAATAAAAATACCGATGGTGCCATTTAAAAATCAAAAGTTGTTATTATTTCCGGTAAAACAGGAAGTGACTAAAAACAATTGAATACGTCAATCAATCCAAATTTATGTGATAACCTAATATACCGAATATCGTTTTTTTATCTGAAAAAATATAGTTATAGGGGTGAGCCACTTTTGAGACGCACCCGGTATAATTTTGTAGCCAGATTCATTTCCCCAAAAATGTCTTCCGGCTATTTCGCCATTAGAAAAAAATCAGCAATATAAAGTAGGTTTCTTTATAAAATTGGTAGTATTACAACATATAGTAGTAAATTTGGGGTCGCACCACTCTGGCACTTTGTGCCATTGTATGGGTTTTTTAATCGCGGTGCGATCCCTTTAGACACACATTTATTAATACTAATATTATTCTGTAAAACTTAATGGGGTCTAATAAAGAAATATGAATTTGAATTTGAATTTGAAATTAAATTTACAAGAAATTTATTCAAAAAAATTATTTTTTTAATTTTCAAAGTAAAATTATCTTAAAAGTCGGTTATTTTAGACTTATTTGAAAAACGGTAAAGAGAAAATGTGTTTCTTTTATCGAGATCTTTTTTACCAGCCCTGAAAATATTTGCACTTATTTAAGACTCACTCTGTATATGATATTCTGAAATTTTATATTTTTTCAGTCATTACAAACACATAATAATTATTAATAGAACACTATTAATTCTGTAAACTTTGATATTATTGACTAAAGATTACCTAACTGAAAATATCTGTATTTTTATTATCACTTAAACTTTTGTTTTATTGGCTGTAAAACATTTCAATAAACCACTCGACGCGCGACGCGCTACTATAATCTATCACATTTTACCTCTATCTATTTTTATCTAAATATATCCCAAAACGAAAATAAAACTACTCGTCGAAATTTCCCTACATCTGAAACAATACGTAACAGCGAGTATCGAGATAAACAGATAAAATATAAGTCTATTACGGTGACTGATAACCTCATTCGTTACTAGTGAGTTTGACAGGCTACATCACCGGCCCGGTTGAACACCTGTTATCCAGAAATTACCTTCTCTCTAGCGTCCCCCGAGACAAGCGAACAATATGGTAAGGATTACATTATTTTTAAGCCCCATACCTATCACATTAATCAAAAGTTCTCCATTGATTTCATCTTATCTCCACAATGTTTTCTATATGCTTCAGTAACACTGTAAATATCTTAAAAGACGCAATACTATTAACGCAAAAAAATATAACCATTATAATTCATTATTTACATTTATTTATAGATCTAGTTCTTAGATCATTATGATTCCTAGACACCTCCTTTCGTCGAAACATTGTAACCAACATAAGTCATTTCGACGTCACATGAGGGCAAAGAAAAAATCAATAAATCAGTGCATAGAAAAATATAACCATTATAATTCACTTACATTTCTTTATACCTGGTGCGTCTCAAAAGTGGCTCACCCCTATAGCTTTTTTATTTTTTCAGATAAAAAAATGAGATTTGATATGTTAGTACATGACATAAATTAGGATTGACGTATTCAATTGTTTTTGGCCACTTCCTGTTTCACCGGAAATGATTAAAACTTTTGATTTCTAAATGGCACCCTCGGTATTTTTATACTTTATTCGATAGAAAATGACATTCTGAATAGAATGTCATTTGAATAAGTCAATCAATCCTAATTTATATCATATACTAACATACCAAATCTCGTGTTTTTTAACTGAAAAAATAAAAAAGTTATAGGGGTTAGCGACTTTTGAGACGCACCCGGTAGATCTAGTTCTTAGATCATAATGATTCCTAGACACGTCCTTTCGTCGAAACACTGTAACCAACATAAGTCATGTCGATGTCATATGAGGGCAAAGAAAATTTCAATAAATTAGTGCATAGAAAAATATTTAACACTTTCTGTTGAGATTTACATGCTTAGTAGAGTTTCATAACACGATATTTCTTAATGTAAATCTAATGAAAAATCTATTAAATTGAAGGATTTAAAGGACATGTGTTTTAAAAAGTGTAGTTTGAAATGTTGAAAAAGTAATAAATTATAAAAATATTTTTTTACGCGCAAAAATAGTTTTTTTCGTGTAACAAATAGTTTTAGGCGCAAAATATTGTTTTTTTCGTCTCGCGCTTGTGTGTCACGGTCTTGAATTTTTACTCCTGGGCTACACTTCCTTTTAAACCTGAAATTATATTCAGTTTTTTAATAAATAGTATATATTTCATTGACAATATTTTAAAAATAAAATGCAAATTATTCAATAAAGATAATCAATAAAATATAGTCTAAGAACTAACAACGTTTTTGAGAAAGTATTTTAAGAAAGCTGGCTTTAATACATCTTTTGCTATGCCCTCTGGAACAGCGTGCGTGTCGTCTGGCTGCCGATAGATGTTGCGTTCACTACTGCTTGTGTTAACTATAATATTCTTTGCTACTGCGCATTGAAAGAAGATTCTATATATTTTTTTAAATTCCGTTAAATACTAGTATTCAATGTAAATCATAATACCTATGAAGCGAGAAGTCCAGAGTTCAATACTGTTATTTATTATTATAGTTTATATCCTGATAGTAGAGTATTATTTTTTTTAATCACCAAAATTATTTAATACTTTACTAATAAAATATAAACGAAAATAAAATAAAAAAGTTTACCCCGAGCCGGTATTGAACTCTGGACTTCTAGCTTTATAGGCTGAACGTTTTTGCGCCGCGCTATGGAGACTTGTTTTATTTATATTCAATACTAGTATTTAAAAGACTAGATAAAAATATAGGAGCTTCTTTCAATGCGCAGTAGTGAACGCAACCTCTATCGGCAGCCAGACGGCCTCTCCGCTGTTCCAGAGAGCATAGTAAAAGATATATCAAAGAGCTAGCTTTCTTAAAATATGTGTTTTCCTAGGTCTCGTACTAATAACGTCTGTGCAGTCCGTGCAACTATTTGTTGCTACCTAATGACAACATAATACTATTATTTACTACGCCTATTCTTTATTTTCACTGAATATTGCTTTTATCACACTACAATATAATCAATGTTTATTTTTAAGTATTTTATCTTTTGATTTCGTTACGAAGGAATGTCTGGGACAAAATATAATTTAAATTTACTGTTTCAAAAAATTTCTCTAACGTCTATATATGTATAAAACAATAACTTACGGTCATTTAACTATTTTCAGCGTGAATGCATCTCTGTCCACATCGGCCAGGCGGGTGTCCAGATCGGCAACGCCTGCTGGGAGCTCTACTGCCTGGAGCACGGTATCCAGCCCGACGGATACATGCCATCCAATAAAACCGTCGCCGGCTCTACCGACGACAGTTTCAGCACATTCTTCAGCGAAACGGGAAATGGCAAACACGTTCCCCGCACCGTTTTCGTTGACCTGGAACCCACCGTAGTCGACGAAGTACGTACAGGTACTTACAGACAACTCTTCCACCCGGAACAACTCATCACTGGAAAAGAAGATGCGGCTAACAACTATGCCAGAGGTCACTACACTATTGGAAAGGAGCTAATTGATACTGTATTGGAACGCGTTAGGAAACTGGCTGATAATTGTACAGGTCTTCAAGGGTTTTTGGTTTTCCATTCGTTTGGTGGTGGAACAGGATCCGGATTCACCTCGTTGCTTATGGAAAGACTGTCTGTTGACTATGGCAAGAAATCGAAGCTTGAATTCGCAATTTATCCGGCTCCTCAAGTTTCTACAGCGGTTGTGGAACCGTACAACTCGATTTTAACAACTCACACTACTCTGGAACATACCGATTGTGCTTTCATGGTGGACAACGAAGCTTTGTACGACATTTGCAGGCACAACTTAGGAATCGAGCGTCCAACTTACACAAACTTAAACAGACTCATCGGACAAATTGTATCATCCATCACAGCCTCTTTACGTTTTGATGGTTCCCTCAATGTCGATCTAGCGGAATTCCAAACTAACTTAGTTCCATACCCTCGAATCCACTTCCCTCTAGCTACCTACGCTCCTGTGATATCCGCTGACAAGGCATATCACGAACAACTCTCCGTGGCCGATATCACAGCCGCTTGCTTCGAACCGGCCAATCAAATGGTAAAGTGCAACCCAAGGCATGGAAAATACATGGCTTGCTGCTTGCTATATCGTGGAGACGTTGTTCCTAAAGACGTCAATGCTGCCATAATTTCCATGAAAACCAAAACCAACATTCAATTCGTCGACTGGTGCCCTACAGGTTTCAAGGTTGGTATAAACTATCAACCTCCAACAGTAGTACCTGGGGCAGATTTGGCCAAAGTACAACGTGCTGTTTGTATGTTAGCTAATACAACTGCTATTGCTGAAGCATGGGCGAGATTGGACCATAAGTTCGACCTGATGTATGCTAAGAGGGCTTTTGTTCATTGGTACGTGGGTGAAGGTATGGAAGAAGGAGAGTTTAACGAAGCCCGTGAAGATTTGGGGGCTTTGGAGAAGGATTATGAGGAAATCGCTACTGATTTTGCGAATGATGAAGCAGAAGAAGCTGAAGAATATTAAAATTTTTGATTTTGTATATTAAGTATTTAAGATTTAATTTAATTAAATACTCTGCCATTGCGTTACGAATAATTTAATAAGAATTATCTTATCTTAAATAAATACGTATTTTGAATCATACTTACTATTTGATTTATATTTTAAAGATACATTTGTTTGTTCGGCACTCCAAATATTTATAAACGTGTATATGCATGTTATTTCCATATAACAATGTGCGTTATCTATCTATTCTGTGCCCTGTGTCCCATGAATATACATAAATAATAATAAATAACATACGAATAGCTTTTAAAACACAAGATACACTTATATCCATTTTAACCCACAGTAAACCAATGAACACTGGACAATAAACAAAAAATGTAATATACAAAATCTCATGTGAATGTGATAAATGTTATATTGGTGAAACATCTATACCCTTAAATGTTCGAATTAAAGAACATAAAGATTATTTAAGAAAGGGCGATTATCACAAATCTAAAATTTGTCAGCATTCATGGAACACAGGGTAGATATTATAAAAAAAGGTCTTAGCTTCTAAACGAAAAAAATAAAAGAGGGTTTTTTAATACAGTCTATTTACTATAAATAAATGTATTGCTCATGCTCAGGCATCTGTAGAGGTTAGTAATGTATGGCTATTGCTTTTTTTATTTTTTAATCAAAATAACATAAATAAACATAAGTAAAAATTAAAGACAAATAAAAAATAATCATACAGAAAATTTGAGGATATAATATCATATTAACAGAACGTCAACGGTTTTTATAGATGTATAGGCTAGGTGCATTCTTTGTCAGTGCTGCCACCTGAGGAATATCGTAAAGAACAAGAATATATACACGCGTTTAAATAGTGAGTATACGAAACATTTAGTATTTAATTCTAAAAGTGTTAGGGTAGTTATAAAAAAATGTTTGTCCGTTAGGCAATTTTCTATATTAGTAAAGCACTGCTGACAAGTAGGTCTCCATTGGATTAACGCAGCAGTGTTTACAAAAAATAACTATTTTATTTTGTAGATTTTCTTGCAGTACAAGTGGCGAAATACCTATAGGACTTTAAAAAAAGCAATTTACAAGATTTATTAAAAAGAGCTCTCCATATACCATTCACAATAAATCTATATAGGTCAAAATAACATTACATCACTATCGATCTTAACAACAATATAGGTATTTTTCCTTCAATAAAAATAAATATAAGTATTTCAAAAACATTGTATACCTATTACGTGAAAATTAAGAATAGTCAAGAAATAAAATAATCTTATCTAAAGTCAATACAAAAGTTATGTCTATTTTAATTGGATTATCATTTAATAGTTACTCTCCATTGTATTATTCTAAAATCTGAATTTTCTCTTAACCAGTGGCGCACCACGATTTTTCTTTTAGTACCTCTGTTTTGCAATTAATTGATTCTTCCTAGCCAACTGGACGCCGTTTTTGGATCATACTGTATAAATAATCATATATAGCCCAACGAGAAGATATCTGACAGTGACAGTTGTTTTCTGTCAAGGCTTTTTTGCCTACATGATGTACAGGGTGATAATTTGAAACGAACAGTATTTAATATTGATTAATTGAAAACGAACAGTACCTTATATTGCCTAAGTATGAAAATTTGGCGAGAAACACGTAAATTTACATATCAAGGGGGACAATTTTTGAGGCATTTGTTGTCGTGTTACTTTCAACTCCTTGACCTCCAGTGCACCTACCCCTAAAATTTTAAATAGCAGCCCCTATTTTTTTTACCATATTTGTGTTTCTTATAGAATTCTACATAAACTGTATTATTTTTTTGAGAATTTTATAAGGAACACAAAAATGGTAAATGAAATAGGGGTTGCCATTTAAAATTTTAGGGGTAGGTGCCCTGGGGGTTAAAGGGTTGAAAGTAACACGACAACAAATGCCTCAAAAAATGTCCCCCTTGATATGTAAATTGACGCATTTCTCGCCAAATTTTCATACTGTCATCGGTAGAGGTAATATTATATACTGTTCGTTTTCAAATTGTCACCCTGTATGTAAGCCAGTGATTATTGTTCTTACAGTGTCATACTCTATAAAAAGCGTAAGCTACCTTTTGCATGTATTTGTGATGTGTGTCATAAGTGTTTAACAAGTACACTGATTAGATCAATGTTAATATAAATGTTTATAAACAAGTTAGTAAGCCTACAATCACTAAAATATGGATACAGTTTTCGTATATTCTTATACTAGATGCAATTGGTCATAGTTGCGATAAGATAATATATCTATAAGTCAGATCAAAATACTGCACAAAATACTTGTATTTACCCTTGAAACGGATATTAACCTATCTCATATTGAAATTCACAAGCATGATGATCCGCTCAATACTTTGTTAAAGTTTAAAATAACCAAAAATTTGGGACCTGATGGTCTTCCCAGTTTATTTTTAAGAGAATGCCCAGTAAGATCACGATTAGTATTGAGTATTTTTCATAATCTGGATGCTCCAATATGGATTGCATATAAATATATATCTTTCCAAATTGGAGAAAAAGTGAACTCCTAATAAATGACACAGAAGAATTAGGTAGTACTTATGAAAGAAACTCAATCATATTCAAATTTAGAATGCCACTTTATCTAAAGAAGAAAGCATTCGACCAATATGTACTACCAGTCGTATGCATGCGAAACCTGCAGTGTGATTTTGTAAACATATTTTCTTTCTAGCGACTCATCAATCGTATAAAAATAGCATTGGCTAGACAAGAAATTTCTTGTTATGGAGCTTACAGAATCTCACTGCTAAACACTTAAAACGGACATTATAAGGAAACTACAGGTTGTACAACGTTCAATGGAACGAAGTATGCTGGGAATAATCAAAAGCGACCGGAAAAGAATAGAGCGGATACGACAAAAGACCCAAGTAATAGATGTCATCCACAGAATTAAATCCCTCGAGTTTCCAGGGCGTTATAAGTGGCAATGGACCACAAAAAATTACAGCATGATGCCCACGAGGAATTAAGAGACCCAGAAGAGTATCTAAACTTCCAAAAGTTGAAAATTAAATGAAATTATTTGGATGTATGTTGTTTGAAACAACATGTTTCTATAAGCTCTAATACCAAATCGCATAAATTCATTCACTCGACTGTTTAGCAAATCATATTGCTCCAAGACATTTGAAGTCACAATTATTGTTATATTTGAAGATTTTTTAACTTTTGTGCACAAAATTGCCCTGCATATAGAATTTCCAGGAGTGATTTTAAATTAAAAATTAAAACATTTTATATTTCCTTTCAATCAAATTTATTTAGAAATATATTTGTTACTGTAAATGTCCGAAATGCGGTAAAACCTAGGATAAGCGCGCTAAACCTAGGATTTACCAAAGACATGTGGTAAAAGCCGGAAAACTATTTATTTTGCTTCCATTTCGGACTTTTACCGGACCCAAACAGTAAATCTTAGGATTTACCACACCGCATTGGCAAGTACGAATAAGCAAGTGGTAGTAAAAACCAACCAACCCCACCAAATAACCACCTAACCAATGCATTATCACCCCCCCCCCAAAATAACCAAAATAACAATAACCAGGCTAACCAATGCATTAACATCCTCTAAATAACCAGGCTAACCAATGCATTAACACCCTCCAAATAACCACCTAACCAATGCATTAACACCCCCCCCCCAAATAACCAAGCTAACCAATGCATTAACACCCTCCAAATAGCCAGGCTAACCTAATTAGTTAATGCTTTTGGTAAATCCTAGGTTTAGCGCTCTTATCCTAGGTTTTACCGCATTTCAAACATTTACAGTAACAAATATAAGACTGATACGTTACAAAAATCGATATCGTGAAACAATAATCGTTAAATTTTCAATGCCTAAATAAACAAAAACAGAGATGTCTTTGTATATCGACATCCTTAATTTGTCGATATTGTTGCTATAAGAAAAATAATTCGTACTTTTACCAATGCAGTGTGGTAAATCCTAAGATTTACTGTTTGGGTCCGGTAAAAGTCCGAAATGGAAGGAAAATAAAGAAGTTTTCGAGCTTTTACCACTTCTTCTTCATACAGTGCCATACTTTATACATACCGTCAGCTACCTCTAGCATGTACTTGTGATGTGTGTCATCAGTGTTTCACAAGTACACGGGACCTACAGTTTATCGCCGAATCCGAACGGCACTATTTGAGGGGCTGTACAAGGCAAATATACTCAAGGTGGTTTGCCATTGCCTTCCTTGAGGTGGCGGCTCGTTGGTCGCTCTATTTATACAAATAAATATTTTTATTTAAATAAATAAAGCGACCGTACTGGCTGGGGATCGAACCCAGTACCTTCCGCTTCGCAGACCGACACACTACCGCAGGAGCTACGGCCGGCCACTTTTACCACTTGCTTTTGGTAAATCCTAGGTTTAGCGCGCTTATCCTAGATTTTACCGCATTTCGGACATTTACAGCGACATATTCATGTTGAATTATTTTATATACCTAATAATCACTCCCTTGACACTATGGATAAATAAATAAGTTAAATCTAATTAAGATTTTTGGTTTATTAAAAATTTAGAAATCATCCCTGGTTACGCCAATGCCCCAAACGCAGGATGTTCGTTTCCTTTTTGAAAGTGTGGGGGCTTTTATCCTAATGAAACAAATTTATATTTTGAATAAAACAAGCGCGGCCGCCGGCATCGGCCAAAATAAGCACCCGGTTTATTTTAAAAGAGCTCGCAAAACGTTTCTTTGTATTCGAGAGCGGATAAAAATTAGACAATTTCCCGAGCAGCAAAGGAAATAAATCGTAATTTTTATATGGAGAGACGGACCGAGGAAAATTGCGAGATGTCTTTCAATTTGACCGGAGTGCAGCTCGAAGCTGTGATTAAAAACGTACTTTCTTCCTTCCGGAACAAATAAATCAACTGTCAGAAATAAGAATCGGCAAGAAAATTTGTAGTTGATTACTTTTAAATTGAGAGTTTTAGAAACGATTATTTGGAATTAATGTTCTATTGTTGCTTTAGTTTTATGTCGGTA